ATGTGAGAGTGTGTGTGTGTGTGATATATATATATATATATATATATATATATATAGTATTTAGAAGTATTTGAACAGAACAGCAGGGAGCACATACCATTAATGGTGAACTTGCTGTCCGTGTATAGCACAACCTTTTTAAAATTATTTTCTCTGGCTTGCTCGAGTGCCTTGCAAGCAGCCTGTGATGAAATGTTTAATGATATGGTTATCGATAAAAGGGTATAAGAAAGAACACTGCTTGTGAACACCTCAATGTTCTTACCTGCAGTTCTGCTCTTTGGTTGGTCTGTCTCCCTGGAAGCCTCTCAGCCACATTACTGACCTCAGTGAGTTTCACTCGTTTTGGATAGGAGGACAGTCCCTCATCATCATCATCATCATCATCAGAGTCCTCATATGTCCTTTTACATCCAAGAGGAACAGCCATTGAGGCATCAGGCACATTTCTAGAAGGCAGGACCTCATAGTCACATCCTTAAATGGAAACAAATGTCAGTATTAATCACTTGCATTACAGTATGTTTTAGCAACATATCAATCCACAATTCCTGCGACGTGACATGCTACAATCCATCTACAATCATTTTAAACAGCATTTCATCAATTCTTTTTAATTGCAGTTAAGTATGATTTTACAAACTTGTATTTATTAACTCCCTGGAAGCCTCTCAGCCACATTACTTAGGAAACAAAGTATTTAAAATAATTAAAATACATTTTTTTGACACTTACAAAACAGTGAACATGTTTACAGGTCAAAAAAACAAAAACAGTGGACATGAAAGCATTGTTGTTGTTTTTTTAGAATGCTATTAATCAGAGATGACTTACAGTGGATGATCACGACCCCAATATACACCAATTCCTGCACGTGCTCCTGCTCTCCCATTGGCTGTGCAGCAGCCATCAGTGTATACTACTGCAGCATCACCTGTAACAAATGCATAAAACATTTTACTATGGTATAAATGCAATACAGTTTACTATGGAAAAACCTTAATTTAAAACATACAACACTATGTTATATGTTATAAACATATAACTAATTAGTCTATTATTTGTAAATATTGTAAATACATTTATATATTATGTATATATATACACATTAGTCAACATTTGCAAGCAATGCAATGCAAAATGCGCTCAGAATTACAAAGAATATATATTACATCGGTGCTCACCATGTTTGGTATACTCCTGGTCTGAATCCTTTCCTCACAGCGTAGAAAAAGTTTCCTTTCTTGCCCATCTCTTCTGCGGCGTCACAGAAAGCCCTGCGTACAACCCTAAAAAACCCAAGCAGTCTCAACATAGTCTCTGCTTAGAGCAGAGTAAACACGGCTATATTCTTTAGTGGTGGCATTTTTATAAGACAATGACCATAAAAATAACCTGACAAAGACGAAATCTTTAACAAAATACTTATGGATTCAGTGATTTTGACCGTCGTTAGCAAAACCTCCGCGGCAAGCGTACCGACTGCCTCTACGTTAGCGGTCAGCTGACCAAACGCTGCTGCTGCTGCTGCTGCTGCTGCTGCTGCTGCTTCTTCTTTCGTCTTAGTGGCAGTTGGCAAACTAACTTATACTGCGTTTCCGCCACCTACTGAGCTGGAGTGTAGAGCATCAATGAGGAGTGGAATATAGGTAATACATAACAAAGAAAAATAGAAAAAGAACAGAAATTACTTACTTAATTAATTAAATTTGTGAGCTTTTTTATAAATTCTAATAATATCTTGAAAACTTGTGATGAATTTCTTAATAAATTCTGAATTGACAAACTGCTTACACCTATTGACTTGATTTGATTTTATAGTTTTCAGTAAAAGGTAAACAAACCTATTTTAATGACTGCCAAAAAACTATTTTATAATCTTGTATATGTGGCTTATTAAAAAAAATAATAAAATAATGCTGCGCCCGGGATGGTGATTACATTTCCCATCATGCAACACACCAACGCGCTTTTACCAGCCTCTCGCGAGAATACGGCCTCTTACCAGGCCGTCGTTGAAAGAGGTGAGACTACTGAATGTGCCAAGCTAAAGAGATATCAAATTAAAATGTTTGAAAAAAATGTCAGATTTGTGTCCACGAAAGACCTTTATGTGATATTTAGACAGGGATGCGTTAGATGCGAGTGTATTTGAGAACGGATGTTTATTTTAGAAAAAGAAATGTGCATATTTAAGATGTGCTAGCAGACTTCAGATTTGTGTCCACGAAAGACCTTTATGTGATATTTAGACAGGGATGCGTTAGATGCGAGTGTATTTGAGAACGGATGTCTATTTTAGAAAAAGAAATGTGCATATTTAAGATGTGCTAGCAGACGTGCCTGTACTACAACATTACTGGGCCCCATGTGCTGCTCTAAGATAGTCTAAAATGCTTACATATAGTAAAATATTATATCTCGATGGCCCATATTTGCGGTAGAATTGAGCCTGTAATGTAAATGTAGTCATTCTATACTAGCTAGCCAGTGCTAACGACATGTTAAGAACATGCTTTAGAGTTAGCCTAAATAGTCTGCTTAACGGTAGCTGGTGAATTAAGTTACCGAGAACAGCTGAAGTTAAGATAATAAAGTCGGAGATAGATAATTTCATCAAATCCCGAGTTATGTAATTATCTCTGAAACTGGTATAATGAATTCTAATGTTTAGTATGTTACCTTGCTTACCTGCAGACCCAGTAGGTTGTATGTCTTCGTTGAAGCATAGTTCAATTATATGTTGTTTTAATTTACTCACCCTCGTGTTGTTCTAAAGCTTAGTGACTTGCTTCTGCAGACCACAAAAGATGATGTTACTGCTGACGCCTTTAGTCTACATTAATTTTCGTTGCATCTTTTTTCCTCCATAAATTGAAAGTAAATTGAGACAGGCTGTCAGTTTCCAGCATTTGTGTATAATGAGGATGTACTTTTAGGTTGGGCACAACATGGGAGTTAATAAATTACCCATTTCTTTTGAGTGAGCAGTTTCTGCTGTGTAATTTTTTTTTTTTATTCTAATAAGTCTGTTTGTGTGTTTCAGACACAGGCCATGTTCAGTACCAGCGCGAAAATAGTGAAGCCAAATGGCGAAAAGCCAGACGAGTTTGAGTCTGGCATTTCCCAGGTGTAGTATATGATCATATCTTTTTGAAATGTGATCGTGTATCTGTAGCCCTTAATGATAAGCTGTTGTCTGTCTAATGCAGGCTCTTCTTGAGCTGGAGATGAACTCTGATTTGAAGGCTCAGCTGAGGGAGCTTCACATCACTGCTGCTAAGGTAAAAGCCCTGCTGGTTCATTCATTTTGAATGATTGTCATCACATCAGTAATTCAACTGCTTCAGAAGCTGCTTCAGAATAAGCAGCTGTTTGAACTGATAGTTGACAACCAACGTGGACATCCTGTGAGATGGCTCTCATGTGGCTCTGTCCGTGTGGCGTAAGGGAGCGCAGCACTTTGGTGCCATGACGTACAGTCCCGTTCCACGACGTTGGATAGCAAGCTTGTCCCCGGCCTCTGGCTGGTGTGGACAGCATCCTGTATATTCCTAAATCTTCCCAGAGCCCTTTGGGCCATTACTGGGGAGGTAAACCATGCAGTGCACATGTCTTTAACTGTACTGGTCCTTGCTGAGTGCTAGGTTAAGTCATTCATATTTATGCTCTTGTAACTTAATACTATTGATTCACTTTCTTTCTCTCAGGAAATCGAGGTTGGTGGTAGCAGGAAAGCCATCATCATCTTTGTGCCTGTGCCCCAGCTGAAGTCCTTCCAGAAGATCCAGGTGAGGCTTGTGCGTGAGCTGGAGAAGAAATTCAGTGGCAAGCACGTGGTGTTCATCGCACAGGTAAGACTTGTCCTTTCTGAGCATGTGTTTAAGTTTTTTTTAAAGGGGTCATATGATGTTGCTAAAAAGAACATTATTTTGTGTATTTGGTGTAATGAAATTTGTTTAGCACTTCGGTGCCATGACGTAAAGTCCCGTTTCACGGCGTTGGATAGCAAGCTTGTCCCCGGCCTCTGGCTGGTGTGGACAGCGTCCTGTATATTCCTACATCTTCCCAGAGCCCTTTGGGCCATTACTGGGGAGGTAAACCATGCAGTGCACATGTCTTTAACTGTACTGGTCCTTGCTGAGTGCTAGGTTAAGTCATTCATATTTATGCTCTTGTAACTTAATACTATTGATTCACTTTCTTTCTCTCAGGAAATCGAGGTTGGTGGTAGCAGGAAAGCCATCATCATCTTTGTGCCTGTGCCCCAGCTGAAGTCCTTCCAGAAGATCCAGGTGAGGCTCGTGCGTGAGCTGGAGAAGAAATTCAGCGGCAAGCATGTGGTGTTCATCGCACAGGTAAGGCTTGTCCTTTCTAAACGTGTTTTTAATATAAAATGGTTGGCTGCTGTTTTTTTTTTTTTTTTTTTTTTTCCCTTTTTTTTTTTTTATGTTATCCCTTGTTAATGTATTTTTAAATGCCTCAAATCCTATTTTAAGATGTGACGTTTAGTCCATGTCTATTAGCTTTGAGGCCACAGTTTATGTGAGTGTTCCTGAACTTTGAGTCGTGTACTTAGTGCAGGTATGCATAATTAAAAAAATGTGATTGTTCAATCGAATGCGCACAATCTAGTTTTTAATAGTCCAATCATATTTCACTGGTATGCACTAATTTTAAATTTAGAGACCATTGGATTGGGCAATTAAAAATTTTGAACTGTGTATACATGACAAATTTAACAGGACAATTTTAAAATCTAGAGAGCACTAAATAGTACATTTAAGTTTCTGAATTGTGCACACCTGCAAAAATTGACTGGACTATTTGAAAATTTAAATGGTCCAATCACATTTTGCAGACGTGCTTAATTAAAATTTAATTTGTCCAATAAAATGTTTTTTATTTAGATTTTAAAATGTCCCTCTTTATCTGCAACCTAACTAGCATTTACTGCCTATTGGCCTTTTATTTTTGTCCACCTGAACATACTATTTTAAGATCATGTTTGCACTGGTACAAAAAAAACTCTCGCCAAGTGATTTCATGAGGTCCTTAAACTTTGATTTAGTCTTGGTGTGATTTGATTTTTCCCAACGTGGACATCCTGTGAGATGGCTCTCATGTGGCTCTGTCCGTGTGGTGTAAGGGAGCGCAGCACTTCGGTGCCATGACGTAAAGTCCCGTTCCACGGCGTTGGATAGCAAGCTTGTCCCCGGCCTCTGGCTGGTGTGGACGGCGTCCTGTATATTCCTACATCTTCCCAGAGCCCTTTGGGCCATTACTGGGGAGGTAAACCATGCAGTGCACATGATTTTTAGAGCAACAATGATGTGATTTCTTCTGAAGAATTAGCATGTTGACCACCAAAATAATTATTTTAATCTTGATTTGATCTTGTCTTCCAGAGAAGAATCCTGCCTAAGCCCACAAGGAAAAGCCGCACAAAAAACAAGCAGAAGCGCCCCAGGAGGTAAATGTCGTCTTGTTGCATTTTGGAAGGTGTTTGTGGAGTCAGGGTTAGTAGTGCTTGCTTTTTTCAGTGTGATTGTGCCTACCGTAGCAATGTTGTGCTGATTGGCCTGTTAGCGTATAGAAAACCAACGTGGACATCCTGTGAGATGGCTCTCATGTGGCTCTGTCCATGTGGCGTAAGGGAGCGCAGCACTTCGGTGCCATGACGTAAAGTCCCGTTTCACGGCGTTGGATAGCAAGCTTGTCCCCGGCCTCTGGCTGGTGTGGACGGCGTCCTGTATATTCCTACATCTTCCCAGAGCCCTTTGGGCCATTACTGGGGAGGTAAACCATGCAGTGCACATGATTTTTAGAGCAACAATGATGTGATTTCTTCTGAAGAATTAGCATGTTGACCACCAAAATAATTATTTTAATCTTGATTTGATCTTGTCTTCCAGAGAAGAATCCTGCCTAAGCCCACAAGGAAAAGCCGCACAAAAAACAAGCAGAAGCGCCCCAGGAGGTAAATGTCGTCTTGTTGCATTTTGGAAGGTGTTTGTGGAGTCAGGGTTAGTAGTGCTTGCTTTTTTCAGTGTGATTGTGCCTACCGTAGCAATGTTGTGCTGATTGGCCTGTTAGCGTATAGAAAACCAACGTGGACATCCTGTGAGATGGCTCTCATGTGGCTCTGTCCATGTGGCGTAAGGGAGCGCAGCACTTCAATGCCATGACGTACAGTCCCGTTCCATGATGTTGGATAGCAAGCTTGTCCCCAGCCTCTGGCTGGTGTGGACAGCGTCCTGTATATTCCTACATCTTCCCAGAGCCCTTTGGGCCGTTACTGGGGAGGTAAACCATGCAGTGCACATGTCCTTAACTGTACTGGCCCTTGCTGAGTGCTAGGTTAAGTCATTCCTATATTTATGTGCTTGTAATTTCATGCTATTGATTCTCTTTCTATCTCAGGAAATTGAGGTTGGTGGTAGCAGGAAAGCCATCATCATCTTTGTGCCTGTGCCCCAGCTGAAGTCCTTCCAGAAGATCCAGGTGAGGCTCGTGCGTGAGCTGGAGAAGAAATTCAGCGGCAAGCATGTGGTGTTCATC